TGACCTAGTTCAATCCAACTCTCATCCTCACATCAATTCTCACTGAGATCAATGTCTGTGTTGTTCTCTTTATGTCCTCCTACCTCTTGCATGTAGACATTTGTCAAAAGGTTAAGCTACTAAAATTTTATGTGCTTTTAAAGTGTAGAACAGTAGAGTCCAGTTCTTATTAAAATTTATTTTCAGTTCGTTTCTTTGTATCGGACACGCAAAGAAAGCCTCGTGCCTTTCGCCAACCAAATTCGAGCCACGTGCTGTGAATTATTGATGTACATTGCGAGAATTTCAGGAGTATGTTCCAAATCAAGAGAACATCATCTTAATGACGGAATCACATAAGCATCATTTCTTACGTGACATCCAATTCGTCAGCCACAAATTGCAAATTACGTAACTTTAAAATTACAGTTAAGGAGACAGTCGTGAACGAGAATTTAAAAGTGTTGCACTGTCAGTACTGGATGCAGTTGCAAGATATCTGTTACGATAAGACAAAATTAATCAAGTAATATGGAGTAAAGTCATTATTAAGAAGCTGACTGTCACACCGCTAGTTAAAAAATGCACGACAGTTTATGGAACCCGATGGTACAGTGTTAATAGGAGGCCGCCACACGACTCTGTCCTAATTTAGATAAATACAGTCACTCCGCCATATCCTATTGTCATTTTAATATTATCCACAGTGTTTGGAAGATGGAGAGAACCATTTACGAGAGGTGAAAATAATGTGATGGAGTAGAAGGACAAATACTGGATGAGAATGGACATTTGTCATAAAGGAAGCCATAGTTATTACAGGCCTGGAGCCAAGAAGCGAGCAAGTGACTAAGATGAACCGTTTATTATTATTATTCAATGCATTTCGTGTATTTTCCTAGTTATAATTAATTTTCAATGTAAGATTTCAAACCTGTATCAGCATACGAACCCGGTCACGGTAGCCGAGCGGTCTAAGCATGCACTGTCTTCGCTCGCTCGGAAGCCTGGATCGTGGGTTCGAATCCCACTCAGGGCATGGATGTTTGTGTGCGTTTTTCTGTGTTTGTCTACAGGTAGAGGCCTTGCGACGAGCTGATCACTCGGCCAAGGAGTACTACCGAATGTGTAAGATCTAGTAGACCGAAGTGAAACGGAGAGTTTCATGGAGGTACGCCTAGGCCCAAATTGGGGCTGTAGCGCCAGAGGGGGGAATCAGCATACGAATCTACACGACTCCACCTTCTATGACTACTGTCCCTTCTACCCGAAAATTATGCCGCTTTATCGATGACAATTAAAACGGACGAAGTTGCTTTTAGTGGCGCTGCTGCTGTTTATGGCGAGTAATAAGACAGCAGATGAATGTGCGTCTTAGTCGCATCCGAAGACGAGCAGATAAACAGACAAACGTAGCTCGTTTATTGTACTCCAGAGGAGCTTTTAGACGCAAGAAAATCATAGGCCTATCGGCATGTGACAGTGCTGGAGGCCTCAACTCCTTACCGCATCTGCAACTTAACTTTCACGTTCGTTGTGCATTTAGCCTGAACAGCAGCTTTCAGGCGAATGAATGCGTTGTCTTTAAATTGCTCGTATGAATATGAAAGAAACTCTGCAAAGAGACCTGAATTTCTGACAAGTAATATTTCAAGCCATATTTCATTTTCCAGTGCCTGTGAGGTCTACATGAGCGTTACTTAGGCGAAGTATTAAGAAACAACTCAAGTTAACTTTTTCATCATTATCTGAGACCATTATGGACTTCAGTTCTTTTGTAACAAAGTTTTTCGTTGTGTAACAAGTATTCTATACGATGTAAGATTTGAGGCTTTCACGGCGGTGACTATGAAGAAAGCAGTCTTCTGGGATTTGGCACCGTGTATATGTGGTGTTAACCGACGTTTCGGAGGAACGTATCGCCTCCATCTTCAGGTTAGAAGAAAAAATATAAGAAATCTGCAAGCGAAGAGACCGTGAGAACCGGTAAAAGCAAAATCCCAGAAGACTGCTTTCTTCATATTCTATACGATGTTAAATTCTTTATCTGCCATGTCGCGATATTATTGTCCAATTTTAATATCTTAATAATGGAAAGGTGGGAAATATATATTCTCGAAACCTGTGTTTAAAATCTTAACGCGATGGTATGTAATACTAAAACAAACACCTGTCTTTCGGCCAGGCATTTCGTAAAAAAGAAATAAGTTGCATCACCCGTCGTTTCTACGAGTAATGTTTACAGCCACTGTGACGCTTGCTGCTTTCTTTTCGCACTAAGCGATTTCAAAGCTACAAAACCGACTGTGGTCGCCTGTAAACTACCTCAGAGACGAAAAAATATAGAAAACTGGATAGACGAAATGTTTTACGAGGGAGAGTCAGTATATAGGTCACACATGGAAGTAAAACAGCTGTAATGGAAGCAATAGGTTTGTATGTGTATCACTAGGTAGCAGCACAGTCCAGCTTCATGACAGTCTAGGTAGCAGACGCGCATGTGCATGTTTAGGGGCTGGTTTCAGTAGTCAAAATGATGACCGTGCTTGAGGAGCGTAATATCGAAAAACAGCATTTTGTTGTGCATTCCTAGTAGGCAAAAGAACTCAATGCAAGGGATATCCATAAAGAAATATTTCCTGTTTATGGTGGGAAGTATTTATCGCGAAAAGCTATTCAGAACTGGGTGGAGAAATTCTCTCAAGGACGTCCGAAAGTCGCAGATGATGCCCAACCAGGTCGCCCTGTTAAGATTGCGACAGAAACAGTTGTGCAGCAGCAGGCGGAAGAGTTAATTCAAGCTGAGAGAAGGATAACGACAGACAGTGTAGAAAATGCACTAGGATGTTCCCATAGAGCATAATGCACGATCTTTTGAAGTTTCGGAAACTGCGCATGGTGGGTGCCCAGAAAACTGAAGGATCGAGAAAAAATTACACGAAATGGTCGGTCCTTGCAACATTCTTACGGTATGAAGATGGATAAAATACGAGCATGCTTAATAGGATTTTTACTTGGGACGAATCATGGGTGCATCACTACCAACCCGAATCAAGGCGTGCTTCAGTGCAGTGGAGACTTCTCAGTTCACCTTCAACCAAAAAGTTTAAGCTTACGCCATCAGCTGGGAAGGTTATGATTACCATGTTTTCGGATTCTTAGGTGCTGAAAATGTGAATTCTGCATCTGTTGAAGCTTCGAGATACAATTAGGAGAAAACATCCAGACTGACTGTCAAGAGGGGTAATGCTTTATCATGACAATGCCATACCCCATACAGTCCGGATTGGGCCCCTAGTGTCTTCTATCTGTTTGGCCCTCTAAAAGCCCACTTTGGTGGTAAACGTTTCGCTGGTGACGAAGAGGTTGAACCGAAGGTGCGAAAGTGGCCGAGACAAGAGTTGAAATACTTTTTATGCTGCGGGTTTTGACGCACTGGTAATGTGATGGGACAAGTGTATCGTTGGTGGTGGATAATCGTATGTCGATAATTTTTCCAAGTTTCGAATATCACGTATTATACCTTTTACGAGTATATCCAATTCTGACCTATTTATTGATTCTTCCTCGTGTGTATACAAGCTTGGCAGCATTTCCATTTAAAATCTGTTTACTTGTTAAGGAAGAGATGTGTTTAAGGAAATTTTAGGAACTTGCCATTGCAATTTCAGGCGTTCGGATTTAAGAGATAGTGATGTGTCTGAGAGCTTTACTTGATAATTGAAAATTAAAAACAAACTTCCTATTTTCTAACTAGCTGAGCATTTGGCCAGAAACGAAGCCCTGAAAGAATAGAAGTTGTAGTAACATGCTCCCTGCTCATGGATCCGCATTTTTTATGGTGCAGTATAAGTACAACTGGAGAATGATAATTAGGTGGGGAAAACCAAAGAAAGTATAAGAGAAACCTGTACAAGTTTAGATCTCCCACCACGAGTCTCAGCATGAAAACATCCGAGATTGAACCAAAAACTCTCCAGAGCCTAACCAATCTATGGCATGGCCAAAATTGAAAACATTTTACTAATTAATAAAACGCATCTATTTCTGTCCCTCTACCCTTCTTTGTTTTGTTTTGTATTTTTCTCTTCTCGCTTCAAGGATTACGTCAAAGAACCTAAGGTCAGTTATCGCCCGTCTACCTTTGCGATATGCGCAAACGTTCCATAAAAAACACATCCACAAAAGACGTCCAGCAATACATGCCTGACAAGAATTTGTGGGTAGAATTATCACCTACTTTCTTTCCTCTATTTATTGATTGATACGACACTGATCGCATAGAAAACACCTTGTCCAACAGTTCTATTGTTGTGTATTCCTTGTTACGGGATCTTATTTGCCTATCCGTTGCCTAGCAACGGCCGTCTCTTCGGGCTCCACTGTTCCGGCTTTCAGACGTTAAGGGGGGGAAACGAACACACAGCAAGGTGATCTCATAATTCTCCTTTTATATGCTAAAAGAGGGATGTCTTGCCGTCAAATTCGGTGCGATTGTATGGTAGCGGAACGCAGTATTCTGTTCTGGCGATAGAAACACGAAGATCCTAGTAAGCAAGAGCCTTAATGCTGGCAGGACAAACAGTGACCCTTATTTGCACTAAGTGAATAAAATGCCGTCTTCTTCGATGTGGCGCCTTGTAGATATTGTGTAAACCGACGTTTCAGAGAAACGTTTCGCCTCCTTCTTCAGGGTGCAGCCTGCAGCCACCTGCTCACGCTCGTTTCTCGCTCGCGGATTTTTATAGCCTGAAGATGGAGGCGATACGCTCTCCGAAACTTCGGTTCACACAATATCTACACGTCGCCACATCCCAGAAGACTGCATTCTTCATAGCCAACGTCGTGAAAATCTCGACTCTTTCAAGCGAACGTACAGTTTGGACATTACATCTGCACTTGTTATAAAATATGCATATTATGTGCAAATATTAGTAGTTACGGGATCTCCTTTTCGGGAAATCCATCTTTGGTGCTTTTTGTGCATTCTGCAGACTTATAAGCTTTCCAATGTTTTACAGATCCCTGAGAGGTGGTGATAAGGATGGCCCGGGTGGACAGTGGTCATGAGACCCTCTTCTCGGATGACTCCCCGTGCGAACTGGTCACAACGCCGTCGGCCTGCTCCAGCAGCGGGCTGGGCAGCGCCTCTAGCGGCAACAACAACCAGCACAGCTCTGAGGATGCGGAAGCGACGCGTCTGGGTCCGCCGAAGATCACACCGTTTAGTGGAGTTTTAGGAAAGGCAAGTCGGCATGTCCGTCAGACTATTTCTGTATTGCCCTGTTGTCTCTGCTGATTGCTGTTCACAGTTCTGGCACACCGTCACAGCCTACTGTAACTAATTAATGGAACAGTCCTTCTTGACATGCTAAGAGTCTCTTAGTTGGTCAAGAAATTTTCTGATTGTTAAGATATCCAAATTTTCGTCGCCATATTCACAAGAGTCCGTCACTGGATCCTGTACAGAGCTTCAAATCCCGTACGCGTTCTCATATTTTATTTCTTATGACGGATTTTAATGATGTATTCCCATCTACTCCTAGGTCTTCCATATGCTATATTCTTTAGCGTTTAAATTTTATGTGTGTTGTATGCCTCATCCCCTTTATTTGATCGATATAATACTTCCTTCAGAGTGACATTATGAAAGTCCTCATGCTATTTTCTCCATTCCCCCTGAATTTCCTTTCCTACTATTATCTTGACTGTGTAACCAGCAAAGCTCCAAGGGATGAAGCAGAAACTTAAAAGCACCAAGAGATGATACTGTCGCATAAATTAGTGACTATAGACGGGGTTTGAATTTGCGAATAGATTTATTGACCAGATCGTAACGACATATAATTATAACACTATTCACGATCTCCACACTACAAATCACTTCACACTAAGTCTTCTCAATCTAGTTCCACTAGTAATTACCTGGTAACAGCTTTCAACAATGGCAGTTTCTCTGCAGTGCCTTCACTGGACGTTTCCTGGTAACGAATCTTGGTTGGTTAGTTGGTTTCCCATGGCTGCATTTGGGATCATTTAACCCATTTTGCTTCTTGCTTCCCAATAGAGAGCACTCAAGTTCTTGCTTTGTTGCATCTTGAAGAATTTGCACTTTTCTTTTGGGAAGCTTTGCCAGGTTAGTTACTCATTTTGCACTACTCAGGGAACACGTATGACTTAAAGAATGTCACGGACGCAAGCAACTTTGTCCCCCTCTTAACACTGAAGATTCTTCCTCTTCCGCTGCCGGCTGGTTATCACTCCACAGCTCAATCCTCAATTGCCTTATACCGCCGATTGTCTTCAAGATAACTCCTCGGTATGGACCACGCAGAAAACACACTCTCTATTGTTTAAACGTGTTTGCCGAACCATTGCATAGCAACGGTCGCGATACAGACCCCATAGAAAACAGTCTCTCTGTTTTTGAGGCGTGTTTACCGAGCCGTTGCTTAGCTAGGGGTATACACACCACAATAATTTGTTGTCTGGTCATGGCTCTTTCACATCTCATAGTTTGGTGACATATGAATTAAATCTTAAGATTTCATGGCGGCTAGAATTGATAAGGTCTTCTCGGGCTATCAGCCATGTCGGTTGGCTGGTCATATCAGAATCTAACGTTGGGGACAGAGATGCTCCCAGAAACATCGGCAATTTTTAATCAGTTGACATGGTTGATAGTCCGAAAAGATTTTGTCAAGGTGAGAAATAAGCATGGAAATATTGTGGAATGTCTAATAGCAAGGGGGAAGAAGAAGAAGAAGAAGAAACTTCGCTGTGACTTTAGGCCTACGCCAGTTTTACTTTTATACAGTCGTGTATGCAGTGTGTACAAAGGAAAGCAGTTTTCACATTCTCATTCGTTTACATGACTGCCAGAGATTTCTGTCTTCCAGACCAGTGCACTAAATTCTATTATATTTGAACAGGGAGTCGACACTATAGTTGGCTGACTAAATGTCATTTTGGTGGCTCTTGTTCCACAAGAACTACTATTTTCCTTTATGCTGAAGTGGGGTTACCCTTCAGAGGATCCTTCAGGGTGCGTATAGGTTCTCGTGATCACAGGACAGGGCGAGCAGGGGAGGACAAAGAAATCAGCAAGGCGGAAATGCCCAAACAGAAACAATCAAATCAAATCAAATATAATATATTAATAAAGAAAGAATACAAACATGATGTAAATACCTGTATCAGAATGATTGCAGAGTTCGCTGTTCTAAGATAGAATACCACGTAGAGAAATCAATTTGGACGGTCGAGGATGACCTCGACCGGTGGTCCGAAATGAGAACAATCTACCCCTTCAACGGTTGGGAAGCCAAGAGCCTAGAGCTCCACTCGGTAGGCTCCTAAGCCGGCTCAGGAAGGGAAGGAGAGAGAGGGAGAATAGAGACCGATAGAGACAGTAGAGGGGAGAATTGCGCACACAGATCACAGACATGAGCCGACGTCACAATGCTGTTCCTCAAACCTAAAGAAATGAAAGCTGTACTCTTCAGTTGAAATAAAAAATTATACTTAGAAACTCCGCGAATTTCAAAAGTTTACGAACATGAAGCAGTAAATTAGATTTATATTGAAGAAAGTTGTCTTCTGGGTTTAGGCACCGTGTATTCTTCGTTTTGGCCGACGTTTCGGAGGAACGTAGCGCCTCCATCTTCAGAGCAGTGGATAGCTGCGGAGAGCAGTAGCTGTAGCTACGACACGGGACCCGCGGCTTAAAGTCCCTCTCGGAGGACTTGTTCCCTGAATTTTTCCGCCCTTAAAAATTCGACGACCTCCGCCGGGTATTTGAACCCGCGTACCTTGAGTCATGAGGTGGGAACGTTACCTCTAGACTACGGAGGCCACTTATGATATATGTTAACAAAATATGGGATCTACACAAGATCGCAGAAACCGTGGTGCTCTCCAGATAATATTACTTCTCTTACCATATTTGTTTTTATGTTTTAAATATTTTAGACGAATATTGTTTTTAGGTCTATGCTTTTCCAGTAATATTAAGAACTTCGACTTGAGGTTCAAACCATCTGTCTAGATCTTTTAAAACCAATAGTTTTGGTGACGAGTCGACATACATTTCGAAATGAATAAGAAACTGCTTGAAGAAGAGAGAATGAATTAAAATAAGTACAAAAAGTTGTATACAAAGAAGTCTTTCTTTTCTCGGTACTTTTGAAAAAGGGAATATAAAATATTCACTGTCGGGCAAAAGTGAACAAGCTTTTGTCTGTCTTCACTATTACTTTTATCTGCGCGTAAGCATCTGGTGTCTCCTCGCAAACAAAAAAGCCTCATTCATCACCATGTGAGGCTGCAGCAAAGAAAAAGGCTTGGGGTTGTGGAGAAGCCTTCTTTTGTTTAGGAGTATCAGTCATTCAGTTTTATGTCTTCCTCTTTGCTTCTTCTATTGTTGTTTCAGCATGCATAGACTCTTCTGCAATTTTCACATCTAAATGCGAGGGAGTGGGTTTGACTTTTGCGTCTGTGTTCTGTTAGCTGTTAATGCACTCAGGGAATTATCATAACTTGAGGAGAATTAAAGACGCAGAAGAGAGATAGAGATAGACTGTATATGCAATAAAACAAACACTGAACGAATTCGCCGTTGGCATGGCATATTTCGGTGTTCTAAAAGATAAAGCTTTCAGGTTTAAAATTATACAGTCTACATATAATTAGCATAAACACAGAAGAGTTTGTCATTGTGTCGTTTCCACGGAAACCGATTGCGAAACTAGTCAGAGAGTTACGATAGAAATAGAAATTTGCAGACTTGTTTCAGTAAGTACGTNGAGTCCTGGAGCTACCGCCGAGTTAGCCAGCAACTAGTCAGTTGTATTGTGGCATTTTTCAGTGTACTAATTGTGATACTGCAGATAGCAGTAATCGTCAGATTGTAATTTGGGTGATTGTAAGTGCGAATGTGAAATAAAATTCGCTACATCGAATACATCGAGAATTTATTTGTCGCGATATACCCCGCGATACGCGACAATATGCATGAGTGCATGAGTGAGTGTTTCTTGTGGAAATTAAAGCTAAATATAGGAACTGAAAAATGTTCCCATTGAATTTTCTTCCATATTAAACGGCTTCTTTGTGACGAATATTTTGTACCAGAAAATTGATCTTCTGTGGCTGTATATATAGAAAATCACAAAAGTTACTTTATCTCCAAGTTCGAAACCGTAATAATTATACATTTTCCACGACGTAATTTAGGTACGAATATTTGAAGCAAAATGAACTGTTAAATGCATTAGAGCACGAAAATTTTAATTTTACATAAATATATATATCACCTGAAGATGCGTTAGGGCACATTAAGAGTGACTCAGTAAAAAAAAAACTAATATTTTACAAATTACTGTATGAGACCTCAATAATCTACACTGAGCGATACTGTAATGCATTTATCACGTGTATTAGTGACTGTAGAAGCGGTTTGGATTGGTGAGTAGATTAATTGACAATTTAGATGTCGTAACACCATTGCTGATTTCCGCACTACGAATCACTTCACACTAAGTCTTCTCAGTTTATTTCCACTAGTCATTAATTGGTAACAGCTCTCCGTAATGGCTATTCCTCTACAGTGTCTTCACTAGAGGTTTCCTGGTACGAATTTTAGCAATGGAGATTCTTCAGCTTCCGTTGCCCGCTGGTTAACACTCCACAGCTGAAACTTCAACTGAACTGTAGCTTCAATTGTCTTCAAGATAACTCCATGGCACGGACCACGCAGAAAACACAGTCTCCCTTTTGTTGAAGAGGAGTGATTATATCGCACCGTCGCATAGCAATGGTCGCGGCGCGGACCACATAGGAAACACCGCATTTCTATTGTTGCACGTGTGAATGTTGCGGACGTCACATAGCAACACCTAGAGTCACCACTTAATAACGGGTCTGTGCGTCACATTAATGACTATATTAGATCTTTGCAAGTGCCATATTTTATATCGCATGAACATTTTTTGTACTATGAGACGTTTCAGAGAAAATTAATGAAAATGCGTTAAGTTTCACGAAAGTAAAGATTATATTTCATAAATACAAAACAAAATTTAATTCACTCAACGAAGTTTATTGTAGGAAATCAAAACGGAATATATTCCGAAGTCCGTGAAGTCGCTTCGGTGATATTGCATGTGAACGGGCAGACATGACTTCCAAATCACGGATTTATTTTACCTACTTCCTACGAATAAAGCACAATGTAAGTATAATAGT